CACCAAGTTGTGTACTGCCTTACAGAATATGGGCTTCAAACAGTCCATTCCTGATAACTCCTTATTTACTACGGGTGAATGGAAGTCCTTTATAGCACTATTAGTCTATGTAGATGACATTGTAGTAGCTAGTGTTGATTTGGAACTCATACAACAAATCAAACTTCAGTTCAATGACAACTTCCAGATAAAGGATTTAGGACCTCTAAGGTACTTTTTAGGACTGGAGGTAGCTAGACAAAAAGAAAGGGATCCTAGTTTCCTAAAGGAAGTATGCCCTAGAACTATTAAATGATGCAGGGTTCATGAGCTCCAAACAAGTGCACAGTCCAACAGTTCATTCACAAAAGTTAAGCAAAAATGAAGGAGATTTATTAGATGACAATTGTCAATACAGAAGGTTGGTTGGAAAACTCTTGTATCTAACTATTACAAGGCCTGATATTAGTTTTGCCACAACAACTCTCTCAATTTCTGGAAAGGTTTACTCATCCACATTTACAAGCAGCACATAGGTTTCTAAGATACATCAAAAGTGTTTCTGGCTAATGACTCTTCTTTCCAGCTTCATCTGATCTTCTGTTTAAAGCCTTCTATGATTCAGATTAGGGAGCATGTGTGGATACTAGAAAATCTGTCACTGGCTTCTGTGTTTTCCTATGACCAACCTTGATATCATGGAAATCAAAAGAGTAAATCACAGTGTCTAAGTCTTCCTCAAAAGCAGAATATAGAGCCCTAGCAGCTACTACATGTGAGATACAATGGCTTCTTTACCTGCTGACTAAGCTTGGCATACATCGATATCAGAGTGATACTGCAGCCATCTACTGTGACAGCAAATCTGCTATGGCTATTGCTGAGAACCCTATCTTCCATAAACGCACCAAACATATTGAGCTGGACTATCACCTGGTCAAGGAAAAGCTGTAAAAGGGAATCATCAAACTCTTTCATGTAGCTTTTGGAAACCAGTTGGCAGATGTCTTCACCAAGACTCACTGTCCTAAATCATTCTACAGCTATGTTTCCAAGCTGTGATTGCTTAATCTATACAATCCAGCTTGCAGGAGACTTTTAGGAGATATAGGTAGCTAACACTTAGCATGATCTCACTCCTCCAAAGTTCAATTGTATCAGTTGTAGAATCTGTTTAATCTGTTTAATCTGTTTTTCTTTCCCTCTAGTTCTGCATCTGTATATAGTCTTTGTACCAAACTCTCCTTTAATTGAAATGAACTCTCTCAGTTTGTTAGTAAAATTGCTCCTCTACTTTTCCTCTTATTCCGCGACATGCGGCACAAATCGATCGACCGTGGAGAGTCCTTCATCGCAGCAGACCGCGAATGCCGACCGAATCGTACGTTGCAGCAAATTGCGGAGGATGGTCGAAGAAGAAGTCTCGCGGTTGTCGCTGATTCTGTTGTTTACGTACGTATAGAGCTTAGGGCATCCTCAATAGTTGGAGATTTTTTCCCTAGTTTTTTGTGGGCCCAACATCCACCTCATCATCTAATATCTCACTCAATCACAAAAATACTTCTCCACATTAGTTTGAAGTTTTTTCTCAATTTTTTATGGACCCACCAATTTGTTATCTTATATTTTATTTATTTATTTATTATCATTTTAAAAATTATAATTATAATTGTAATTATAATTATACAATTGATCAAATGTTATTGATAATTATAAATTTAATAATAATATTGTTGATAATTATGAAAACATAATTTAAATGATAATTATAATTTAATAAATAAAAATAAAAAATAAAAATAAAAATAGATTTAATAAAATTCTATGTTAAATTAAATTTAAAAAAAAATTAAAATAAAATAAAAACTTGAACTGGACGTTGCCCAGTTCATAAATAAAGCAAAGATGGAATTGTAATTCAATATATATATATATATATATATATATATATATATATATATATATATATATATATATATATATAAAATGAAGTTTTGGGCTGCTGAATTTACAAAACAATAAAACATTTTAGTTGGGCCAATTTGAACAACTAAAAGAAAGAAAAGAATTAGTCCACTTTAATTCCATCTAGCCCAACTCTTATTAATTAATAAATAATGTAATACATATATTCCTAATGGCCCAAAAATAATATTTAAACTTAATTATTCAAATAATTATTGTATTAGTACAAAATATAAAATAAAGTTCAAAACAAATATAATGTAAAATAAATAAAATTAATTTATTATAATAACTATCTAAATTAAAATATAAATAGTGCTTATCAAATGACAATGCAAAGAAATCAAATACTACCATGTGTTAAAAATTAGCACATAGATCCCAGTTACTTGCAATGTAAAACAGGCAATTGCCTCAGACTCTAGTATTTGCCTCCAGAAAATGCATGTTTTACATTGTGATTTTTTTTTTAGCAATTTGTTATTATCTACAAATAGCAGCAAGCAAATGAAGAAATTTTGCCATTCAACTATTTATCTTATGCATATGAACTAGAGGTATATTTATTATAAGAGTATATTAAATTAAGAAGTCATGGGTTCAAGTCTTCTTACAAACAAATATTTTAAAGTTAAATCAATTAAATTTAAAATATATTTAAATAAAAATAAAATTAGTATGGGCTAAATGGGCTAACCCGTATAATAGTCGGGTTACACGGGCCTGGTCCAATACGGACCAGGCCAAAATTCCCATGGCCCAACACACCTAAAATGTGGGTTAAATGGGCCTAACTCGACCCGTTTTGATAACTCTGTTCATATACTTTCTCAACCTACTGAAACACAAAGAGCTAATAACGCCTCCAATGAGACTCAAACTCACAACCTTCCAAATGGAAGTCCAATCTGGGTACCATTGGACCACATAATCCTGATTATGTAATTAGAGTTAGAATTAGAGTTCCTTGTTTGCTGTTGATAAAATTTATGTAATTCGATTCCCAATAAAATATGTTACTGTGGGCACAATTATAGTTTTCGTAAGCAATATGTGAATGGAATCTAATATTCTAGTTCTAATTTAAACAGAAAAGTGCAGAAGAGTTGAAAGATGAAGTATGAGATAAGGGGGTAAAACTTGTTCCCTTGTTTAATTCTATTGACAAATTCAAAAAGGCAGCCATTAAAATAAATGGTGAAAAGAAGGTACACTTTTGTTGTCAAGATCATTAAAAGGCTTATTACTCTAAACTTCAATACATTTATTTAACAAGAATATGACTCCAGACATTTGAAACAAAAAAAGAATGGGCATCAACACAAAGAAAAGATTCCTGGAATTTATGAGAGTTAAATGAAGTGTGGAGAGTTGCTAGAGCCATAACTCAAGCATCTCTAGTCCATAGTGATAACTTAACATGAAGAAATCTAAATCCTCAATAAGAGTTGGTTAACCTACTAGTGTTTATAAATCAAATAAATACCTATAGATGTTTTTGTATATATCTGCTAGGATCTAAAGACATCCATCAGTTATCTTCATTAACAGATTGATTTCTAACAGTGATCCACCTAAAGGATACCAAAATTTGCATGCTCTATATTTAACAAGGGATCACAACACTTGCAAAATAATACATAAATTAACTAGGGAAAACAGTGGACAAGTAAAATTGATACTTGATCCAACTGGGCCCTAATAGAGAAAAGCTCAACTTTGTAATATCTGGGTTGAAAACGAGTTTAGCTAAGCCCAAGCTTGGTTAGAATAATTTTTATATGTCAAATTATTTGGCAAATGATTATGTCGACCGTGGTCTACACAACTGTGTGGACCACCGTCCAAAACGAGTCGTTGAATTTTATGAATTGGAATAATGTACATTATTAGTTAGAATAATGCACTTTGTGCTAAAATAATGTACATTATGTATTAAAATAATGTACTTTGTGTTAGAATAATGTACATTATGTCTTAAAATAATGAAACTTCAAATGTAAGATAATGTACTTTATGAATTAAAATACTGAACATTATGCTTTGAAATAATGTACATTATGAATTATAAAAATATATCTTGCAATGGGTCATGTGAAAAAAAAAAATTATGCAAAATAACGTTGTTTTTGAACCGTGGTCCAAACACGCAATAACTATTGAAATTATTTATACTTGATCAAGTATTAGTTTTACTTTTCTAAAATCTTTTTAAAGAAGTCTGGGACATCTATATAGTAGTATAAATAATTAAAGATCCGTTTGGAAAGCAAGAAAATGACTTCTGAAAAATGGGTCAATGAATTTTGAAGTAATAGAAATATTATTCCATAAGGAATAGAATAGGCAAGGAATAGAATAGGAATTCTATTCTATTGTTTGGTTCGCGGGAGGAATAGACTTTAGAAATTATATTACAGTGTTTGGTTAGTTTAAGGAATAGAAATTATATATGTTTTAAAAGATATAAATACCCTTATAAAAATATGTGGTGGTGGCGGTGGTGGCAATGGCAGTGGTAGCGGTGGTGGTGGTGGTGACAATCGCGATGGTGCTAATGAAGGTGGCGGTGGTAACCGTGGTGGCGATGGTGATATATATATATATATATATATATATATATATATATATATATATATATATATATATATATATATATATATTATAAAAAGGGTATTTTCCGTATTATAGTACAAAAGTTATTTCCAAATACTTGGGAATAGCTAATACCTGGAAGTCCCTTAGGAATGCTGTTCCCAGCCATGAAAAGACAAACCAAACAATGGAATACGTCTGTTTCCGAGAATGATATTCCATTCCCGACTTATTTCATGAACCAAGCACACAATTATAGTGTTTGGATGTACAACAAAAAACTGTCTTTGTATATTTAGTTCATTTTCATGAAAATGAGTAAAATGATATACTTCAACATTTTAATGGTTATATTCACACAAAAAAAAAAAATCATTTTTTTTTATTTTTTTATATCTATCTAAAAAAAAAAAAAAAACAAATAAATTTTTTTTTTTTTGTAACAATAGGAGGGTGTAAACCTGAAGAACAGCTATTGGAGGTTCCCAGACGTGGCCGTAGCAGCGCTACCACGTTGAACTCTAACCCCAATCTCGTCTTCCCAAAGCAACGTCCGGATTGATATTAGCGGAGACTCGAGGATCCGTGTGCCCATCGCGTGGGTGAGGGCGGAGGCCGCAAGCTCATCCGCAACTCCGTTCTATTCCCTAACACACTATTTTTTTATACAAAAAAAAAATATATAAAAAACAAATATTTTTTATACTTAAAAAAATATATATAAAACAAATAAAACCAGAGGATCTCTCTGGTTTCTACAGTTATCAGAGAAAACCATGTTTTTTTACTGTTGGGCGTTGGCTACTTGAGGGAAAATGGCTTATGTCAAATTTTGACAAAAGTCACTTTCCGTCAAAATACTTTCATTTTCTCCCATCAACGAAAAATGTTTTAGGTTGACTGAATTTTCCTATTGTATCTATACACAGAAAACTCAAAAATCATTTTTCATAAATCATTTTACGAGTTTCCAAACACACCCTAAATTCAAGTTCATAATTTATTAAATGGACAAGTATATAGCCATCATTCCCAAAATTGAAGTCTTCGTTTATAATATATATATGCTCCCACAGCCTTTAACATTATATTGGTCCAATTGAATGGATACAGACAAACAATATAGAAACAAATGAATATTCTGGGGAGAGCAAATAACAAAGAGTCATCTAATAGGTACAAACACTATCATAGTTCCATGAATCATTTGGGCGGTTTATCTTCCTTTTCTGGTAGACAGGTCCTCTTGCCCAAAATGCCATCAGCCATCACTATATTTGAGACTGGAAATCCTCCCATAAAGGTAATTACACCCCATGTCACAATCATTTAACAAAAGACTATAAAGTATACTGAGTACTTCAAGGTTTCATTCTAGAAGCACACGTGTCATATGGTCCAAAACCTTTCTTGATTGCTACAGCCTCAACAACAAAACCACAAGAAAAAAGAATGCTCAGTAACTTAGTTTGAGCTTTTGTGATTTTCAGAAACTGGTTCAATGTACAAGCTATCAATAGCCAGCCTCATAGCACTAGCTGCTTGCATCCCTCTCCTTTTCCTGCCATCTCCACCCAAATCCTACTACCACTCTCTATTCCTATCTGATTCCATCTCAGATAATTCATCCATAGCAAACCACCTATACATCCTAACCAGGAGGCCACATGTTGCTGGCTCCCAAGCCAATTCTCAGACAGCAGCCTATGTTCTGTCCACTCTCACTTCCTACAACATCCAATCCCATATAAGATCCTATGATGTCTCCTTAACTTACCCCGTTTTCCGCTCTTTAAGTCTAAAGCCCTCATCTTCAGAACAACCGGTTGAGTTTGATCTCCGCCAGGAGATTTACGAGGGCGATCCTTATGCAGACGTTGCAAATGAGGTGCTACCTACATTTCATGCATATGCAAAGTCTGGCACTGCAATAGGGCCTTTGGTATATGCAAATTATGGGCGAGTGCACGATTTTGAAAGGTTGAGGGAAATGGGGGTAAATGTAACAGGAAACGTTGTTTTGGCAAGATACGGGGCGATATTCAGAGGAGACATTGTGGAGAATGCACAAGAAGCGGGTGCAATTGGAGTATTGATCTACACAGATAGGAAGGAGTATGGCGGGGTTGGGGGTGATACTAAATGGTTCCCTGATGGTAAGTGGATGCCACCAAGTGGAGTCCAAGTGGGAACAGTGTATGATGGGGCTGGTGATCCTACCACACCAGGGTGGCCTAGTACTGAAGAGTGTGAGAGAATATCTATTGAGGAGGTAGAGAAAGGAGGGAATGTTCCATTGATACCTTCATTGCCTATTTCCTGGGCAGATGCCGATGCAATCATGAGGTCCATAGGTGGGCAAGTAGCCGATGAAGATTGGCAGGGAGGAAAGGGTGCTCCAGTTTACAAGGTTGGACCAGGGCCTGGAATTGTAAACCTCAATTACACAGTAAGTGCTATAGATATATTGTTGAATTTGGAAGATGGAATGGTCTGGCGGGTGGAGAATAACACCACTCGCCAGTTAGGTAGAAGCAATGATGAAGAATCAAAGAATAGAAAATGTATATAAGACTGAAATATATTAGTATTATCTGTGTTTCTAACAAAGAAACATAGTACATCTATATATTCAAACACATAACTGTAAGTAACTACCCATAACTAACACTTATTCATAAACAGACACAACCCTATAGATATACCTTAACTCTTTATTTTTCTAACATATATATTAGATACATTAGTGACAAACAATGAGTGCCGTAATGACAACCATTAAATTCGTGCAGTTTTACAACAGAAATGTATAGTGAAATGGAAAATTTTCAATGATTTTTGCAGGGGAAACATGTTATAAGCACTATTGAGAACATTATTGGAATTATTGAAGGAGCAGAAGAACCTGATAGGTATGTCTGCAATCTTCAAAACTAAAATATTACCTGTGAAAGTATCACTTATATGTTAGTGTAGTGTTAATATCAAAGGAAGACATATACTGGTCGTTATTAAAAAATGGAAAAAATGTCAACTTTAACAAACACAAATGAGCTATGAAGATCATCAAAAGACATTTCTAATGCTCCACTGAAGACAAGTGTTCCAGATTGGTAATACTAGGTAATCATCGGGATGCCTGGACTTTTGGAGCTGTAGATCCCAATAGTGGCACAGCAGCTCTACTTGAGGTATAGTTACTGCAAAGAACCTTACCTGGTATATGGAGGCATATATCAAAAGAAACCATTTACTTACCTGAACTTCATTTGAGAGATGTAGGTTGCAGAAAGGCTAGGGAAACTGCTCAAGCGAGGCTGGAAACCTCGACGAACAATTGTCTTGTGCAACTGGGATGCTGAGGAGTATGGCTTGGTCCTCACTCAAACACACACTCTCTCTCTTTCACACATATGCACACACGAACAAACGTTAGCTTCAATTAAATATGAATCAACCGTGAATTTCAGATAGGTTCAACAGAGTGGGTTGAAGAGAACAGGGAAATTTTAGTCTCAAGGGTTGTTGCCTACTTGAATATCGATATTGCAGTGCAAGATGCAGGGTTCCAAGCTTCTGCAACACCACAGCTTGATGAATTACTAATACAAGCCACACAACAAGTACGACAAACAAATTATTATTTGTACTAATAACATACTGATCACTGTTTATGAAAATTAGTCATGGAAAAAGCGCACCACAAAGCTAATAAATAGCAAAATATCTATGTTGACCTCAGTAAGTCAGCAATATATAAGAAAAAAATTCTTCCAACCATAAGAATAACAGTGCCCTGATGCACTATTGTTATTCCAAAGTATATTATGTCTAACAATTTTAACTTTTGACTTGTCTTCAACCAACTTCTAAAGGTCCAAGACCCGGATAATCCATCACAAACTATTTATCAGTCATTGATTGGATCTAGCAACAGTTCAAATATAAAGGTAAATACAACAGAAGCTTTCAAATATGAGGCATATATCATATGATAAACAAAAAAAAAAAAAAAAACAAAAAAAAAAACAAAAAAAAAAAAGACAAACAAGACACATGGCATGGGTCATGTGACCCACGTGGTAATAATTGATGAAATAATAAATACAGATTTTGTTTATGTAGCTTGGGAGGTTAGGAGGTGGAGGATCAGATTATGCAGCCTTCATACAACACATTGGTGTTCCATCAGCAGATATATCATTTGGAGAAGGTATGGAAGAAATATTTCATAGGACAGTATGCAGATATTTAACGGTATTCACAAGGTCAGATGTCATTTCCATGGGCTGTATCATGCATATTGTTACACAATAACCACTTGGCGAATGGTAGCTTATATACAATTATATTTTGAGCATGCTACTTTTTTTTCAAACAATAACAGCCCAGCCCAACAAAAGAAACACTAGTTTCGGGTCTCTTCTATAGTTCTATTTCATCTTCTACTTCCTAACTAGGCATAGAGCAAGTCCCCAGCTTGTACCTTTTAAAGATGAAGTCATACTGGAGTGCCCTCAGCAAACCACTAAGGATAACTTTTTGAGTAAGCAATCATCTCTGCAGGTTACCCAGTCTACCACTCCATGTATGACGATTTCATCTGGATGAAGAAATATGGTGATCCAATGTTTCATAGACATGTAGCAGGTATACTACGATTTTATTTACTAGCGTTATTAATATCCAATTGAGCATACTATTAAAGCACCATGTATTTCTTTTATATGGTAAAACTTGCTTTCTCAGTAAGAAAACACAAGTTGGATGACTAAATTAACAGTCTGTGTTCAGAATCATAATTATTATCAATTATTTAGAAATTTAATCCAAATGCCAGATTACAGTACACATTTTAAATAAAACACCCAAAAAAAAATCACAAAACAAACCAAAACAAAACAAAACCATAACCAAAAAAACAAAAACCAAAAAAAAAATAAAAATCAGTGACATGCTATTCAAAAAAAATTTGCAGAAATAACAGAAACAAAACTTTTTCAGTTTACCACCAAACAGATAGATTTTAATTCCCAAATGAGAAGTAAAATAATTCCCAGTCTCCATCAGTGAATGTGATTGACGGAATGACTGTAGGGGAACAATAAAAGTTTTTTATGGGAACATTTTTATAGATCTCTCCTATTTTGGTATAAGTCTTGGGAAGTGAGTAATCAACAAATTCATCAGTTGCAATGACAAAGAATTTGTAAGTTTTGGGGAGATTAGATTATAAGAAAAGACAGAAAGTAAGTTGTAATTAATAATGGCAAAATAAGGAAATCAAACACTACTTGTGTTACCAATTAGCAAATAGATCCCATTTATTTGCAATGTACAACAGGCAATTGCCTCAGACTGTACTATTTGCCTACCAAAAAATGCATATTGTTTTACATTGTGAAATTTTTAGCAATTTGTTATTATCTATAAACAGCGGCAAGCATTTGGGGATTAGTAGCACTGCAGCTTGCAGATGAAGAAATTTTGCCATTCAACTATCTATCTTATGCATATGAACTAGAGGTACGTGTATGAATGTTAGATTTAACTTGTCTACTGTTGATAAAATTATGTAATTTCGTTACCAATAAAATATGTCTACTGTGGGCACAATTATAGTTTTCTATTAGCAATAAATGAATGGAATATAATATTCTAGTTCTCATTTAAACAGAAATGTGCAGAAGAGTTGAAAGATGAAGTATCAGATAAGGGGGTAAACCTTTTTCCCTTGTTTAATTCTATTGAGAAGTTCAAAAAGGCAGCCATTAAAATAAACGATGAAAAGAAGGTACACATTTGTTGTCAAGATCATTTAAAGGCTTTCCTGTGCAGTGCAATACACTTATTTAACAAGAATATGATTTCAGGCATTTGAAACGGTAAAAGCTAGGGCATCAACACAAAGAAAAGATTCCTGGAAAGTAAGAGAATTAAATGACAGACTAATGATGGCAGAACGGGCGTTCACAGATCCAGATGGACTAACTACAAGGCCATGGTATAAACACATGGTAGGTCTTAAGGTCTTTAGTATTTGCTTTCACAAGTGAAGATCTATCTACTTGCCAATGTTAACACCCTTCTGCAATTATGTAGATTTTTGCTCCATCAAAGCACAATGATTATGGATCCAAGTCCTTCCCTGGAGTAGATGACAGCATTGAGCAGGCTAAGAGCGTAAACACCAAACAGTCATGGCTTTTAGTTCAACATGAAGTGTGGAGAGTTGCTAGAGCCATAACACAAGCATCTCTAGTCCTTAGTGGTAAATTAACATGAAGTCTAAACTCTCAATAAGATATGGTTACCTCCTAGTGTTTATAAATCAAATAAATTCGTATAGATGTTTTTGTATATATTTGCTAGAATTTAAAAACGTCCATCTATATCTGTAATTCTCCTAGATTAAATAAAATGTACAATTTTGGTGAATTCCAACAAATGCAATGCCCAAAAGGCTTTATCAAGCTACAAATTGAAGGTCATTAGTTATTGATGATTATCATTTTCTATTTCCAATACAACATACATCTCTTTCAACCCCCATGTTAAAATTTCCTCCTGGATTTCAATTTGTCTTACGCCTTGCATTCATCAAATGACATGTCAACTTTGTGGTCGATGGTTACTATACACAACTTCACCAGATTAAAAATATTACAGTTCAGATGAGTTATAGAAAATCTCTTATTATTGCTAGTTCTATATTTTTCATCCAAAAAAATCTCATAGGGATAAGAAACCCAGTTGTTTCTGAATTTGAACAAAATGAATGCCTATCAGCCCTCATATTGGTCCCATTTGGCAATGCTTATGATCAAAGGTTATGATTATGGTTTATGAATGTGTTATTACTGTAACTAATGGATTAAATGAGCTACCATGTGTCATGCAATACATAATCCACAAACTTAATATTCTCCCAAAAGGTTGAATCCCCAACCTAAGGGTCCCACGCCACGTCCCGACAGAGCATGTGGGAGGCGGTAAATCACGTTAACTCAGTGGCTCAGCTGACCGGGCATAATCCCCAAACTACTGCTGCCGAGTTTTGAACTTTGGTCTCTTCTCCCAAATACTAACTACTGAACCACTAAGCTAAGACCATGCAGCCTCCACAAGCTTAATCAAACATGTGAAAGGTAGAACATTTAACATGTGTATAGAAACAGTACAAAAACTCAGATAAAATAATCTCTACCAAACACCACAATTATAAGCATAAAAAACGGTGTTGTACTAGAAGTGCAAAATAGATCAAAACATACTGAAGTGAAGCTTGAGGCTGACCTCTTTGGGTTGGATTTGCGGATACGGATGTAAGTCCGGACAGGGGATTTTGGCAAACTGTCGAATACGAGAATTTCCCTTCATATTGTTGTATTTGTTTTAGACTGGGCCATGATCGACAATCCTGCGGGAATGGAGGTTCACGGTGATGACCGGTATTCCGTTGCTGATGATGACAGGTTTCAGAATGAGCCAAATAATCTGATTCCTCTAGGTTAACATCACCCATCCATATTTGGTAAAAATATTGCTGCAGCTATCACGCCATCTGTCTTTGCCTCGAGAATGAGAAGGCAACGCCTCTGAAAGCAGGGTAATTGAAGGCGGGAACTTGGCAACAGGCTTCTGGAATCTGAGCTTCAAAATTCCAAGAATGGGCGGGTTTCTGTGTCCAGATGCTTCAGTGTTCTCCCTCAATTGGTGAAAAGAGGAAAAAAAATGTGATCCCTAAAGTTAAGGGTTGGTCTCATGATGTCACTAAAGGGTCTCAATCCATGAAACAATTTGAACATAATAAAAATATGTCATAACAAAATTACATATATAATTAATATTTTAAAGCTTATATATAATAATTTATAGTATAAAATTATAAATGTAGTATTTTATAGTAAAACTTGAATAAAAAATTTACAGAAAATAAAATAATAACATAGCATAATTAATTACATATATAGTCCGACAAAATAATTGGACAAGATGCACTTGACTCACAGAACCGACCTAAAGAAACCAAGAGCCACGTAAAGGCTGCGTCCACACTTAATAAGAAGATACTATATATTTAATTCGAGACCACCCTATTTAAGAAGAAGCAATTATGGTGAAACTAGGTGCTCCGTCATTATTATAGAGTGCATTACGCTGATTAAAGAGACGTTGTATGCATTAGTATAAATAGTACACCCTGTAGCAAGCAGGGGACACACTCAATATTATACTGAGAATTATCATATAACATTACTTGTTATTATTTTGTTATACTTCGGTAATGTTCTTACCGCCAATGGTGCTTTCATTGAGAATCTAAGATCAACTTTCAAGCGGCTAAAAACTTTATGGTTTCTTTTTATCACACTGGGTAAAAGATGGCACAACAAGGTTCAAACAGCTCCCATGATTCCCGCAACCTAAACCACAATAGTAATGCTAGCGTGGATGCATGGTCGATGAACTCGCATGACTTATGGGACTAGCTCAACAACAACCGCGACAGAGGCCCTGAGGTAGGGATCCTGCCTGTGGACATCCGGGCAACTGTCCAAGCCATTCAACAGGTAGGGTCAAATGCGCCCACTGCCATCGCAAGAAGTTGAGGTGGAGTCATCACGAAGAGAGAAAATGTTTGTGAGATGGATCGGGTCGTCTCAGGTCAATAAGAAATTGTATTACTTGTACTGAAAATGTAATATTAATTATGAATAAAAAGGGTACCATTGCTTAAGTCACAACCTCCAAAACCCCTCTTTGATAACATGCAGAGATCTGTACAAATGGGGGTTGGTTGTGGCTTAAGGGTGGGGGAGGTGAATGTATGCCATTGCTCTAAGTGTATGCAGCTAAGGTCCCTTTTGGTTAAAACAAAAAGATCTGTGCAGGAGTTGTTGGATCCGTTGGTAGAAAAACAAATAATAATTCAATAAAAAAGATTATTATTTTTCTGGAAAACAAGGGAAGGAAAGATGGAGAATTTGGCTAGTGTTTGGTGTTGAGTTTTTGCAAGAGTCAAGCGATCACTCTTTCCTTAAAATCTTATTTGCCACCTCCCAAAAGTGCTAGGAGCTTCGTGGCCTAGGCTTCCCAGGATAAAACTTGCTTGTGATTCAATGTTTGAGCACCCAAACAAGGAATGCGGCGAACAAGGCAAGGTTTTGAACACAGTAAGCTTTAAGAAAGGAGTTTCGGCGAACAAGGCAAGGTTTTGAACACAGTAAGCTTTAAGAAAGGAGTTTCGTTTCGTGTATTTGTGCTCTTGTGTGTATCTAAAAAATACCGACTTCCAACAGCAGGCCACTACCAGTTTGGCATAACCCAATTTCCGGACGACCCACACAAAGCTCGAGTTTGAATCAAGCCTTTTCGATCTCGTTTCTAGTTGGAATTTGATTTGCACCCCCTCCCACCGCGCGAGAGAGCCTCTATACTATACAATTCTACAAGCTCTAAAAGAGTTCTTGTATAAAAGGGGGGTCAAATCCTCTTTCCAAACCAATGTGGGACAAAAACTCACTTTTTCCCTTCATTTTTCAACTCAAATGGGTCTACTTTGAGAATCAATATCTCATTCACCCATTATCCGTTTTGAGCGTACAATATATCAATCTCTTCGTCTCACTACGAAGAATCCGAATCCACTTTAACCCGATCCAAATCGGAAGTGGACCCCACTGAAAATTGTACCACAAAATAGCCACTTAACATATTATTTTATGCCATTTTAAGCTATTTTTTCCAACAGGAGGGACTTGTGTGCACTTTGAGAGTGGCTTGAGGGGGATCATTGCTCTGGTTGCAAGCTCTGGGAATTCCCTTGGAAAAATGTAGAGCTCTACACGAGGGGGTTAGCTTGGCTCCTGAGGGTGATGGTGATCAGGTGATTCTAAATGGGCTCTCAGCATCAGTCCCACTGATAGTGCTTGTATCAGTTGTATGATTGAGAGATGATTGTGAGGTTTGTTTGATTTGAGTGATCACTTTGACTGTTATGGCAGCTGGCTTTTGGTGGAACAGGTTGGTATTTGAGTGCCTTCTGTTGGGCACAAGGGATGCTAATTCATAGAGTTGACAAGTAGTGATGCATTTTTGTTTAGCCCAAAGGGGCATCTCCAGGGTTTTTGTACAGACTTTTTTAAGAGTGTGAATAAAATGGCCTGTTTTTGTTTAATAATAATAATAATAATAATAATAATAATAATATTTTTGAGGAAAAATGTACCCGTAATACTTTAAAATCAAAATGTAAAAGTATTACATTTTTCTTTAAAAGTATAACATTTTTTCATATAAATAATAAACATTTTATTTCCTATTAAAATTTTTCAATATAAGTATTATTTTTTATTTTGATCCGACTCGCCTCATGGACAAGGATCAATGAGATGGTCTTACACAAATTTTTGTTAGCTCATTAAGTGGACACTCCAACCAATGCAAACCAACACTCAATTGAATTGTAATTCAGTGAAGGCCACAATTACATTGTTTGGTTGGAGGGAATTGCAATTCCCTCCTTTTGTTGAATTGCAATTCGCGAGCAATCTACGTTTGTGATCTCGTATATTTTGCTTCTCCGACATCTTACGAATTACAATTCAATGCTTGTGGAGAAGGGAAAAATAGAAGAAATGACAAAACTATCCTTAGTGGACCTTATTATTATTATACAATGATATTTTAGTCTTTATATCACTTTTTTCTTCTTATTCCCAATAATTTTATTACTCCGATTCCTACGAAACAATGTAGTTTGAATTCCTACATTATTCCTACCTTATTATTTTCCCACCGAATTACAATTCCTTTCCTTCTTAATTCCTTCCTCCCAACCAAAAACCCCTCATCAGGTTCTTGTCATGAGTGGGAAGTCTTTCCAAGCAACTCTTGGAAATCTAGGAGAAGATAGAATGGGAACTTTCTCTACCAAAAAAAAAAAAAACGAATGGGAACTTTAGCTTTAATTTGTATACAAATTGCCCTTTGTTATTTTAAGGGTGTATTTAAGATTCAATAACCAATGAAATGAGCTTTAATTTACTAGCTAGATATATCAAAGGCTTCAAACCATTCATGCATCGAAATTTCTGTTAGTTTTCATTCTGTGGTCTCATCGAAATTAGCAGCATATATATAACACTATTGAATGAACATAGGATAATTGGCTTTGTTTCAACTTCTAACTTTCTGACTTTTAGTTTGTTTCTAAACTCAACTCGCAAAAACAGAACCCTAAACCATTTTGTAGCATTTTATTTGCTAATCTATCTATGTGCCAATGACACATTTAATTTTAACCAAATTAACTTTGGCTTAAAATGTAAACGACTTATTAGAGCATTTTGGTGTAGGGAGTTTTCTTGAAGACTTCTTTTTTATGGTAGCTTTTGGACCAAAACTCTTCCCACCCATGCCCCCTACAAAGCTCTTGCAAGACTTCATTCTTTTGCTCAATGAATTCCCCTTCTTTGCAAGATCCTCTAGGCTCTGAACACTTCCCAAACACCCATATGATTCACTCTTCCCATTATAATACTTTGAAAGTCCCCTCCTGCAAGTATATATAAAATCAACGTTACCATCTTTTTGAGAAAAAAAATAAAAATAAAATTATAATACACTACCATATTTTCAAATGGGCAATAGAGGCAGCTCAACTAATTAATCACAAATATATAATTTAGTTTTGTTGTGAACACTAATATACAACTAATTAAACATTTATTAGGACTCAAACCCGTGACCTAATAGCAACTGCATATTCAACTTTATTTCCTTAGACTGCAATAACATTTTTGTAACGCCAGATGCTTGACTTAGTCTTTTAAGTCCTTTAGGCTTCCGTTTAACCATTTTCCGCCACTAGATGCTAGACTTGGCCTTTATGATATTAAAATATAGTAATCTCAAAAAAAAAAAAAAAAAGATTGGTATGGAAGATGATATATATATATATATATATATATATATATATATATATATATATATATATATATATAATTTGTGTTGATTGTGGGGCTTACTTGATTGGGAGATGAGCCATGAGGTCTGTTAACTCATATAGAGGCCCAAATGAAGAAGTTATTGATGATGCAGCATCTTCTACAACCAACTCTGATGAAGAAAAAGAAGAAGAAGAAGAAGAAGAAGAAAATTCATCAGAATTTGCAGAGCTATAATCATCTCTGCTTTCCATCATCTCCCATTGCTCTTCCAGCTTCCAACCTCCATTTTTCATGCCCGAATCTTCTCTGCAAAGTTTCTTCTCACCACCCATTGAAATCAATATATTTGCACCTTCTAAACTGACATATATTTTTATAATGTACATACTACATAGCATATGTGCGTGTATATATATAGAGAGAGAGAGAGAAGAGGAAAGGTTAGGGGGTGGGGGTGGGGGGTGGGGGGGGGCAGGTTCCCTTTTGTGTTAAGCAATAGTTTATTGGATAAATTTTAAAATTTATGGCTGAAGATTGCCTTTTCCGTTTCTTGGAGAGGGGATTTAAGATAATGACTGACGTGTTGGATTTATTTTTCAGTATTAAATGTTTTCTATGTATAATTTTAGGGATTTTTTTAAAAATCTATATTCAACACAATCAGTCATACTTACTATTTTTGACACTGATATCAATAGACACCGGTATACCGTATACTTACCATCATTGACATCAATATCTATAGGGGTACCATACATTGAGTAACTCTTTTACTAAACTATTTACCGTATATCTTATACTATAGAAAGTATTATTTAATGTTATGTGTTTGAACAACTGAATTAGACTGACTTTACTAAAGTTTACCTATTTATAAAAATAACTAATGAAATTGAAAAGAAATAATAAGATCTCGTATAAATAATAATTTTTCGTATATAATATATATACATATATTCAATTTGTTACTTGTAAATTAATTATTTCACTACAAATTAATTAACTACTACCACATAATTAAATAAAAAATAAAAAATCGATATAAATAACACAACTATTCACAATAAATGCACTTGTTAAATGTATGTTTTATCAGATATAAGAGTTTATAAGAGTCGTCAATCTTTTTATCTAATCTTCTTATTAAATTTTGAAATATCAAACAAAATTTAAATTTAAATTTATTTAAAAAGTGAGACTAAATTCTCCTCATAAATTTACCTATAAATATTCACTTCCTAATATAAATATTACGTTTAATTATATATATTTTTTCAAAAGAATCACCATAATAATTATCCAAAAATTTGGCATTTTGCCATCCTACTAGGAAAGAGGATAAGGTGATGATTGATATTATCTGAATAATTTTTGTTATTTTTATTTGAAGGGATACAAATCTGAGTCAGCACCCATTTGATTTTGGGAAAACTGTGGTCGCAATCTAGGGGGCTTTTGTCCCCACAAAGTTATGACAACACAAAAGATGATAGTCTCTTCTTTCTAAATGTATGCTTTCAAATTAAAGTAGAATTGCCAAAGACCTTGGAAAAACGATAGATTAAAAAATACTCATTTGTCTTATTTTATATTTTATATTTTATATGGTACTTTCATCTTTAATACCGATTTATAAATACAAGCAAGGACACGTGTATTGCGCAAAAATATATTTTCAAAGTATTCGTTTAATATTAAATTATATTGAAGATTTGAAGTAGATTAATAAAATAGTTAAAATAATAATAATTTGTAAAATTTAAAGCGTATAGTATTTTTATGGTAACAAAATTTTTAAATATTTGGTAGAGTTAAAATGTAAGGTTTTTATTTTTTATTTTTTTATTTTATAAATTTTGAAAAAAATTGTCAAATGAGTGAAACATGATTCTTATAATTAAATGTTACGAGTTTGATTCTACTCGGATTATTACACAGAAGATGATCGAGTTTATCCAATAAAAACAAAATGCAAGCTTTTACAAGATTTAAAAAAAAAAAAACTCAATATCTTATTTTATATTAGAAAAAAGTGTCAAATAACCATTAAGCTTACCATTTGGTACAATAGGTAACTGAATTTAAAAGTATGCAAACCAACTAACAAACTAGCAAACAACACAACATTTCCTATCAAATTTATATTTTGCAAACATAATTTTTTTAAAAATATATTTAGATTACAATGATGACACAATTTTTTCTCTAATCTTCCGTTTCGTGCATTAGAATATATCAAAGTATCATTCGGTATCTTGACGTATATCAATGCTAGATTATCAAATTTTTCATAGAAGTAAATATTTCAAGAATGCATATCCATGCTTCCTCTTGTTGCAAGATGTCCCTATTAATTGGCGTGATCCATGCTTCCTCTTGTTGCCACTTCTGTCATAAATAAATTCTTGATTTAACCTAGGCCTCTTGTGTGCTTCACTATAATTTTAGTGTCTTGGCACAGTGCACCTTCAAAAACAAAACAAAATCCTCCTTCTCCAAAAGACAATGATAATAGACATAGTTTCTCATCTGTATTTAATATATATACTGCAAATTAGGTGTACCGTTTCATCAATGCCCAATGCGTGATTCTAATTAATTGACAAAAGTTCATGTTAAATTTTATAATTATTTTTTAATACACTATAACATATTCATAGTATATATATGTTTAACAATTATGTCAATTTTGATTGGAATGAGGTTCGAACCTAAGACTTTCCTTATGAAAATCAATGAGTATGTTAAGAATAATAAATAGTTAACGGAATATTCCGTTACTAAAGTTTACATTGACGGAATGCAGTGGTATTTCAAAAAAGTAAATGATAAAATGGAGTATAAAGTAGGAAAAATAAAAAAATACTAAAATCAAAATAATATGAACCATTCATTTTAATAAACAATTACACCCACCATTTTTTTTTAGTTCATGTCAAGGACCTAACTTTATTGACTCTTACTAGGTTTTTATATAAACAGTTAGAGATTTAAGCCCCATCTGATAGCTTTTGAAGAGGGAAAATCAAAAGTTGCATATAACACATTAAAATGATCGAAAATTTGGATGTGATTTTTACAAGTATAACTTTAATATCGTATTTGGTTCATGGAATACATTGGATATGAAAATGTTATTTTGTGGAATAGTTCAATTTTGTTGTTTGGTTGAATTTTTATCGGAGCAAATTACACTTTTGGTCCTATGACTATAGGGGGCGTGATAATTTCGGTCCGTGACTTTTAAAACTAACAATTTAGTCCTTTAACTATGCTTTTTTTAGCAGATTTGGTCCTCCCGGCCAAATCTCCGGTGGAAATTAGCCGGAAAAACTTAAACCTTTTTGAATTTTTTATTCATGAGGGCAAAATGGCCATTTCATCCTCATTTCTTCTTCTTCCTGCTGCGCCTGCAACGAACTAGGGTTGCAATCGACAAAATCGACGAAGGCGTGGATTGAGTCGCGATCGACGAAATCGCACCGGAGTGGCGATCGCCCAACTGATTAGGGCAATGATGTTGCTGAACGTTGGCTATGATTCTGGATGAACGGACCCACCTCCATGACCGCCTCAACGAGACGAAGAGGATGGCCGAAGCCAATCGCCGGATTGAGGCCCGCCGGCGCAGGAAAAATCGTTGACGCGTCTCGGTCGAACCGAGTTTTTTAGAGAGAAGGTAGAGAGAAATTTTTAGAGAGAGAAACACGCGCGAGCTCCATGATAGCTGTTGCTCTGCCTCTGCCACCATTGTTGTGTTTGGTTCAAGCTTCGTTGACTGCCTTGAAGCAAGCTTCGAAAAGTTTAGATTTTGTTGTGTTCACATTCTTTAACTCTGCAAGCATTTATTGTGCCATTGTTAGCTCACGTTCTTTAAATTTAAGCCTAATCATTAATATAAAGCACTGCATTCATTATGGCATGTTTCTTTCCCTAGGTTATGCCAATTCAGTGCAGGCGCAGCAAGGAAGAAGAAGAATGGGGATGAAATGACCATTTTGCCCTCATGAATAAAAAATTTAAAAAGTTTTAAGTTTTTTCGGCCAATTTTCACCGGTGATTTGGCCGGGAGGACTAAATCTGCTAAAAAAAATATAGTTAAAGGACTAAATTGTTAGTTTTAAAAGTCACGGACCGAAATTATCACGCCCCATATAGTCATAGGACAAAAAGTGTAATTTGCTCTTTTTATCGTAAGAAATAGAAGCTCACAGAATGAGCTATTCCTTTTTCCATGGGAGTAGTCATTCCCAATGCCTCCCTTATTACTGTTATTCATAACTTATTAGTAATATGTATTTTTTATTAATTCAAAAATACCCTTATAAACATTTATAAATACATGTATTCTCAAATCTCTTTCAAGGTCCTACTATTAATATGTTAGCTTCCACCATCCTTTTTTAAAGGCATGGTTTAAAAAATTGTTATGCGCTCGAGAGGCGCCCGTGTATTTTTTTTTTTTTAAATTTGTTTAAATTTTTTTATTTTATTTTTAAAACTTGATAATTATAAGCTATTTAATGCTTTAATAATTAATACTAAAATATTAAATATTAACCTAAAAAACATCTACAGTTTGAACAATTTAAGGTTATTTTGCTCAAAACGATGGGTCGTTTTGAGTGAAATAACCCATTTAGAAAAGATGGAAACAATAGCTAATCGGTCGACTAGGCGGCCTAATCGATGCCTATGAGGCATAGACGGCGCCTAGGAGGCCTAGGCGGCTGAGTCGGCTACCTAGCTGGCCAGCTGCCTAGCGCCTAACGCCTAAGTGCCGATTAATAAGTTCTGGGAACAACACAAGAAGAATTGGGAACAAATTAAACCTAGTTTTGCTTCTTTTTTTTTTTTTTTTTTTTAACCCCAAACAAGAACTCATTAATTAGTTTCCAATGAAATTACATCATATAGGAAATCGAGAAGGTAGAAAATCTATTCCCAACAATCATTAGAGAACCACGACTTCCCGAGCAATCAAGTGCACTGTCATGTTCGCAGATTGATTAACAAACATATAAAGCTAATATAGGAGAAGTTCATAGTTAATTTCATTTTTTTTTATAAACCATAGCTAATTTCCTAATGTCCCCAAGGACTAAATCAAAATCAAAAGAGGAGTCACAATTAATCCGTTTGAGTCTTTGAATAATCAAAAAAGCATCCAATTCCACTTGGATAGAGTTTACCCCGATTTCTTCAACCACTTCAATATTTCTCTAATAGGAACTGTTTCAGCATGTTTTGGTTGGTATAAACCACTCTATCTCTCATCTTTAGTTGCTACAAATGTCCCTTCTGAGTCTCTCAAAATAAACCCCCATGCTTGTAGTTTTGGAGACCTTGTCATTTGCAGCATCCGTAATAATCTTGAGCCGACCTTGATGTGGTATCTTCCAATGCGCATTTGCAACAGAATTACTTTGGGAGTT